TCAAGATCCTGATATGGACCTCAGTCAAGAGCATATGTGTATGTCTATAGAGAAAATAAGATGTCCACATAGGCCTATCTCAGGATATCTAATGAGTCAATATCTTGCCATACCATCTATGATATCCAGAGGGAATCCAAAAATGCTTGTGCATGAAAGAAAAATATTGATTTCATATTTGATTTCATATCAAAACGCATATCAAGATCCAGATATGGACCTCAGCCAAGAGAAGCATATCTGGAATCAATATAGCTTCATATCTTGAATGTGCTGAAAAAAACACAGATATGCGATGTATACAGTCAGTATTTGTCAACATGAAGAGAGAAAACAGGATGTCACATATCTCAGGATATTGAATGAGTCCATATCCGGCCATAGTAAATGTCCATGTGTGATATTCAGAGTAACCCCAATATCATATACACACCAGCCATTTTATTAGGTACACCACCCCTTCACGAAAGTTGATCGCTCCTACAGACAGTGAGCCATGTGGCCGTAGCTTGCTATATAGAGCAAGCAGACAGGCATCGAGGCATTCAGTTATTGTTTGATTGAACGTTAGAATAGGAAAAACAAGTGACCGAAGCTTTCAGCGTTGTATGATCGTCGGTGCCAGGCACGCCAGATCCAGTATCTGAGAAACGGCTTCCCTCCTGGGCTTTTCATGTACGACAGTGTCTAGGGATTACCGAGAATGTAAAAACAAAAAAACATCCAGTGGGAGAAAACAGCTCGTTGATAAGAGAGGTTGAAGGATAATGTCAAGAATTGTGCAAGCTAACAGGCCAGCCAGAAACACACAAATAACGGCGCAATACAACAGTGGTGTGCAGAACGGCATCTCGGAACGCACATCTCGTCGATCCTAGTCACAAATGGGCTACTGCAGCAGACGACCATACCGTGTTCCACTCCTATCAGCTAAAAACAAGAAGAAGCGGCTCCACTGGGCACGCGATTTCCAACACTGGAACATTTAGGATGGGAAAATATTGCCTGGTCTGACGAATCCTGGTTCCTGTTGCGTCATGCTGATGACAGAGTCAAGATTTGGCATAAGCAGCATGAGTCCATGGTGGTGTACTGGTGTGGGGAATGTTTTCCAGGCACACGTTAGGTCCCTTGATACCAATTGAGCAACGAACGTTTCCGACACCTTGTAGAATCAATGTCCCAAAGAATTCTGTCTGTTCTGGAGGCAAAGGGGGATCCGACCCGTGACTAGAAGGGTGTACCTAATAAACTGTCCAGGGAATGTTTGTCTTAAAGACACATCTGGATTCAGAATTTGTCAGGATATGGCGCAAATCCACAAAATATGCGTTGGAAATGGTCTGTATTCTCTAGAATATCAAAAACCTGTCATGTAACGATATCCCCTGATATGGACCCTTTTCGCCCAGTGTCTCGTTTCCAATTGTTTGTTTTAGTAGCGTGAATCGTTCCTGTTCACACCGAGGTAAAGAGTGGAATAAATTGAAAGAATTGATCTGAGCCTCACGCTTATCACCTGTGGAAGGCAGGGCTTCCAGCAAGGCACGGATTTCATTGGCCTTGTAAGGCGTGAGTTGTAGTTCCTTCAACCGAAGTCGCGAGAGTGCGGCTCCCCATAGCATGTTAGACCGAAGTTGACTGACTAAAAGGGTACTGCTGAATAGTGTTCATTTTTATATTTTATCTATATGTATCAATTTGACATTAATTTATGTTGGAAGGTAAAACCTAATCATACATTCCCATTCTCCATCACTCAGTGTGCTTCAATAGGACAAACTGGAAAGTGTCACTCTATGTGCTACCATTTATAATTATAGTGTAGTGTACAAATGCACTGGTGAAATACCTGGGTTGTATATAACAATATTTTCCACTTATTATCTGAATTTCATACACTGTAAGCTGATGAATTTCAAGCAGAGAGACAGGCAATACTGTATCAGTTGACAAGTCAAGTAAAAAAAAAGTGATCTTGTACAATGTTGCATGGGGCAGAAATGGCATACAACGCTGTGCTACATAATCTTTTTACATTTCTACAATATTTGTCCTACATATGTACTGTATAAGGATAATGAAACTGTAAGACTGACATATTTCTCAACATGCACACAACCTGCCATTGGATAGAATTATATAAAAAAATTGCATGTCAAGTTCTAGTCAAATACGGTATGGACAATTTTATTTACCATCTACTATTTTTTTTTTTCAGCACTTCAAAAAGAACAGTTTTGAAATGTATATCTTTTTTTGCTATTGATTAAATGGTAGAAAGAATGACTAAATGGTGATGATGTATTGGCGACTAAACAAAATGTGCTCATGGTACTTCATGGACAACTTTTTTGTATGCACAGTATGTCTCAGGGGTTAAAGATGTGTGAAACCCCAATAAATGCACAATTAAAGGTTCTGATCATAATATAGGGGACATTACTACCCACTGGGCACAGACGTCAGTTCAACGTCTAATTTTGATTTACAGTTGGTCACCATGTCATTGGATTTAGGTTAAAAGTTGGGTGAAAAAAATACAAAATTCCCTTAAATGTATGACCTTTTTGCAAATCCAATCAGTTTTCCACATTGATTCAACATCATCACATAGATTCTTTTGTTGAAATGACATGGAAACAACGTTGATTAAACCAGTTTTTGCACAGTGGGTAGTGTTATCAGTTTAGAATGTTGTACTTAGAGTTTTTTAAATATACCACTTACATCTGAAAAATGTGTCAAAGTGATAGAAAACATGTGTAACAGAATAGTCAGCGCTGGCTATGGAGCATAGAATGAATGATGAATTGATAGATAGCCTGTAACGTGTGATACAAGCACTGACATGTGTGAGGATGCTGACAGTGTCAAGAACTAATATGAGTCACCAGATGAAATGTCTGTTGATTTACAGACGGTAGGCCATGTCATGTCAGTGATTATCTCGTTTATGGAAAGGCTGGGGGGAGGGGTTAGAAAGTCCCCTCTCATTTCCAACGTTTCTCTAACTGCCTCTTCTCCTCGCCACCGTTCCCTCACAGACAATGGCTGTGTCTGCAAACGTAATGCATCCTCCATCCATGTTTCCTCAATTACTCTCAAAGGAGCGCATTGGAGGAGTGGATCTAAGGTCCCTCCGTCAGACCTCGTCCTCCAATGAGCTTTTAGAGGAATCAAGGAAGGCGGAAAAAAGGATTGGACAGCTAGTATTCAGTTTTCAGACACACGTTGCATCCGAAATAGCGCTCCATCCCCTATAGTGCACTACTTTTGACCAGGGCTCTGGTCAAACTAGGGCTTGGTCAAAAGTAGTGCACTGTATAGGAAAAGGGTGCCACAAATGATGAGATCATAAGGTCCTTCTGCCTGCCACAAGCCCATCACAGAGCAGGAACTGAGGGTGACAGAGGGTGGGAGAGTTCAGCAGGAGCCACTGCCCCCTTCACCACAGGAAGCAGTATGCTAACACATAGTGGATGACAGTGTGCACTCCGCATTAAAGCCCTGCCGGAAACAGGTGCCCGGGACTCCATTGTTCCTTCCCTCACCAACACCCGGACCCAGAGAGTGGTTTTAGGCATTGTTGGCTCCTCTGCACAAGAAGTGAGTCGTGGGGGTTTGAAGGGTGAGTTAATGAGAGGAAGGAAGTCTAGGGAGGAGATGTGTGTGTGTGTGTGTGTGTTTGGTTTTACTATCCTTGTGGGGACCAGAAGTCCTTACAAGGATGGTAAAACATTTTGCCGGTCCCCACAAGGAAAAAGGCTGCTTTAGACTTAGGGGTTAGGTTTAGGGTTACAATTAGGTTAGGGGTTAGGTTTAGGTTTAGGGAAAATAAGATTTTAAATGGGAATCAATTGTTTGATCCCCACAAGGATAGTGAAACAAATGTGTGTGGATTTGGAAAGTCCTAAATCACTAAATCCTAAATCTCTCAATATCAGTATGGCAGGTAGAATGCTGAGTCCAGAATGATATTGAATATTTAGATTGCATCCATTTCCCTAAATACATTACAGGTACTTACACAAGCCATCTCCAGGAGGTATATTATTTAGTCCACACGTTCAACACATTCAGTATAACTTAAGAAGATACAACTCATTTGTAGTTAATGGCAATCAATTTAATTTAATTTGTATAAAACAGTCCTTGTCTTTGTCCAGCAAAATAACACCATACAATTTCAAATATCAATATCATCTCTCCTCCATTTTTTACAGTCGCATTATCTAGCTTTTATGCTCTGAGAGCACATATACCTTCATATACAAGAGACGGAAGTCCTTTGCCTGCTTGGACTCCGAAATAAAATCATCATTAAGCACCGATGACAAGTTATAATCTTCCATTTAAATAAAAAGCTTTAGAAAAACACAGAAAGGATGTAACAGCCAAAATATCTGATCCAATATGACACGTCATTATACAATATACAAAGGCCCCAGGCCCCAGGTATGTAAAAAATAAACATTAGCTCAGTTCGTAGAGCATGGCGTTTGCAACGCCAGGGTTGTGGGTTCGATTCCCACGGGGCGGGTATGGAAACTAACTAACTGTAAGTCGTTCTGGATAAGTCGTTCTGGATAAGAGCGTCTGCTAAATGACTAAAATGTAAATGTTAAAAAGCTATTTAAAGCTGACACAATCGGGGTGGTCTATTCACACATTAGTGCTTGGGGCATTATGACCTTTAACCTATCTCTGTCTATATTGTTATGCAATGGCGTCTTTGTAGTATCCCTTCAAAATACTCAACGTGTCCCAGTCCCTACAAATAGCTGTGGGACTGGAAAATAAATAAAACAATGGCACAGAAAACGTTCTTTCACTTGCTCTATTATTCTCTACTGCTACCGACCTCATAGCAACTTACTATATCATTCTCTTTATCACTCCAATACAGTCAAATCCCAATTTCATATTATCAACTGTCAAATTCTCCTAAACTCTTCTAGCTACACCCCTTAATCCTTCTCTCCCTTCCTCTCTCTCTCTGTATCTCTCTCTCTCTCTCTCTCTCTTTGTCTCTCTCTCTCTCTACTCATACCCTCAAAATTCGTGAATTTCTTTCAACTCCAAAATAACTGATGGGATACAACATACCATACTACTCCGAGTAACTCTCGTCAGCTCTCTTGACAAGATCCACATCATACTGACCTAACGCATATGGACCTGAGACAGCCTGCAGCCCAATACCTCACTGACAGCATGTAGAGAAGAGGCATCAGCATGCTATCTACATATCAGCTCAAATCTCTGGTCCTGCCGTCTTTCCCAAATCATATTAGAACATCATGGCTTGATTGGCTTCACATACAGGACACATGTACTTCCAAATTATGTGTAGGTGTTATAATGGTCTTCCTAGCCAGTGGGTGAAACATACTTGAGAAAAATACAGACAGGCAGTCTCGAACGGCACCCTATTCCCTATTGGCCCTATTAACCCTGGTCAAAAGAAGTCCACTATATAAAGTATAGGGTGCCATTTGAGACGCAACCATGGACCATAATAACACAAGAGAAACTAGGGTGGAAACAGAAACAATCATGATTTGATTGACAGAAATGTTGGGGTCATGGCTGGTATCTATTGGGTTTGGGGTTAGAGGTTAAAGGTCTGGGTTCACAGGGAGGACCTTTAACAGGCCTGCAGGATGGGCTGGTAGGGGTCGGCAAGGACCTTGTAGCGGATCTTGGTGTTGGTGACGGCGCCGTGCTTCTGCCTCAGGTGGAGACGCAGCTGGCTCTTGTGGCGGACGTGCAGGTCACACTTCTCACACTGGGAGAGAGAGGGGAGGGGAGAGGGCAAGGTCATGGCATCATAATGTTGTTGATGGTTCTAAACAGACAAACAATCTATTTCATCATGGAACAACTGTTTGTATTGCAAGAGGTCAAACACAAGAGGTGTGCGTGCCTGCGTGCATGTGTGTGCCTGTGTCTGCACACGTATGTGTGTCAAATCAAATTCAATACAACAGGTGTAGACCTTACTGTGAAATGCTTACTTACGAGCCCTTAACCAACAATGCAGTTCTTTGTAATGTGTGAGTAATATACTCACAGTGTAAGGCTTCTCGCCAGTGTGAATACGCAGGTGGCTCTTCAGGGTCTGCAGGTGACGGAAGCGAGTGCCACAGGTGTGACAGGGATAGGGCTTCTCCCCTGTGTGAATCAGAACATGGGCCCGCAGGTGGGCCACCTGTAGGATAACACACACGCACAGGTCAGCCAAATGAACATTGATAAATAACGTATAACATAACATAACATGGCATAGCTATAACATAAACTGTCAATTTTACTTTGACGTTACACTTTGTTCCTGCACACACACACACACACACACACACACATACACACAGATTCCTTCCCTGCCACACATCCTCTGTTCAACCCCTTTCCCTCATCAGTGGTGGGTCCTCACCTGAACGAATCGGGCCCCGCAAGTATCACAGTGGTAGGGCTTCTCTCCAGAGTGTATGCGGGAGTGAGTCTTCAAGTTGGCGGGCCGGTTGAACTGGGCGCCACACACGTTGCAGCGGTATGGCTTGTCGCCTGCAGCGGGGGCTGGAAAAGAAGGGAAAGAGAAGTTCAATGAAACACACACACATCAACTACCTGTGGCGATAATCAACTGTAATCAGGGGCCATTATCATAATGCCTAACTGTCCAAACTGCTGCAATCCCTCCGTTCGTTACTATGATGATAAATGGCACTCAAACATCATGTCATGGAGGTGTGTGTGTCAAATGACCACATCATCAGATGTGATTGGTTAACTGCCTCACCTGTGCAGACAGCCTTTATCACGCTCAGGTTGCCAGAGTAACAGAATGGCAAGCTGTAATTCTCGTGCTTGATTGGGTGTTGGCAGTGATGGGCGGCTTCTGGCTCCAATGGGCGGGGTGCCAGATAGCAAGGCGAGGCTGAGAGGGAGGGGCAGAGAATATATACCAATACGTATCTCATATATTTACATATGACACATATCAATGTATGTATATTGTAAGCATATAACACAATTATGATCTCTCACTGTTTAGATGGAGAAAATAAATGTTCTATATGTCATATTTGCTGCTGCCGAGGTAGTAAAGTTGTAGTACCTCTTCCTTCCTTGTGGGTGGGGGGCTCCATGGGGTGGTCCACATGGTGGGCTGGCAGCCCTATGTGGGGCACCAGAGGAGGGCTACGGCCAGGGACATCATAGCAGGAGGCCTGCCCTTGCCTGGAAGACAGAACATAGTCATGTTGTCAACATCAGTGCCAACTTAAACTATCTCCTTGGACAGACAAGGTATTCCTTAGAAAGTTTATTTTGTCAATGTGACTTGTTGGTTTAGAAAAAGGTTTTAAAATACCTGTATTGCATAATATGCATAATATTGACAACACACCTGTCATTTTGGCCGGATCCTTCCCCTGGCCACACCTCTATAGCTGGCTTCAATGTAACCTCCATCCTATCAGAGGTGGGGTTGTGCCCAAGCTGCTGCTGGACCTCCTCAGGCTCCTCTCCCTTCACCGTGGTTACGGCACAGAGAGGGTTGAGGACGATGTACTTGTATTTCTTCCAGTTGCAAGCCTTAGGGTCAGGGCTGCGCTTGGGTTCACCCAGGTTACAGGTGTTGGACTCAGCGGGAGAGTTGGGCTGGCAGCTGGAGCGGGATGGGCTTTCTGGAGAGGGGGTGGGGAGGGGCGATTCAGGCTCCAGCTTTAGTTCCTTTGACCTGGGCTTATGGGTCAGGAAAGTCCCTGGCTGCAGAGAGGCCTGGATGTCTCCAGGGACCCTGAAGGAGAAAAAAAGGAACTCATGTAATGAGAAAACTGAACATAGACAATGGCACATAGAGACAAACACACACATGGTACTGGCAAAGAGAAAGACACACACACACACACACACACACACACCCACCCTCCCTCTCTCTATCTCTCTCTCACCTGGCCGAGATAGGGTAAATACGTCCCTCAGCCACCGCTGCGGGCTGTGAGGGGGTGGAGACAGCGAGAACAGACGGGCGGGGTCTTCCATTGAGGGGGGGATTGGGAGGAACTCCCCCTGAGAGTGCTACAGACACTGCAGACACCGTGGAGTCCAGCTCCACTTGAGGGGGCGTCCCTCTCATCCTCTCACTGTATGGGGAAACAAAAGGAACTGTCAGGTATTGCCAGTCAAAACCAATTAACTGTAGACCATAGGTAAATGATTCTTTAACATAGTTTCGACCAGCAGCCATGGCGCCTGTCGGAGAGACTTTGAAGCCTATTTAAAGCTTAAAACATTTACAGCTAACTGCCTATTCAAGTCTACCCCAAAGTCTCTAGCTGACATAGTCTTTCAGTAAATTCATTTTCCCATGGGTGATTTTAGTTAATCCTGTTAGCTAGCATCACCACTCTCTCCCCTCCCACCCCCCAAGGCTCACCCATAGACTTCTAGAAAAAAGGGGCTCACCTGTGTAACATGAAAGCCCTGCAGGTGTCGGCCACATGGTCCATCTGCAGGTAGGTGGCGACGGAGAGCACCCCGGGGACGGTGCGTGATGTGAGGGGCAGCCGGGAGGTGTACATGAAATCCAGGAGCAAGGAGACGCTGGAGGGGTCCAGGGAGTCAGGGAGAGACAGGGTCAGGGCCTGGCCTCCAGCACCAGCACCACTCCGTACGGTGGAGGACACACGACTGGAGTACAGGGAGTAGAAGAACCCACTGAGGAAGCGAGAGAGAGAGCGAGAGAGAGAGAGAGAGAGAGAGAGAGAGAGAGAGAGAGAGAGAGAGAGAGAGAGAGAGAGAGAGAGAGAGAGAGAGAGAGAGAGAGAGAATGCACAATTTAGTACAAGAACAAGAAGAAAAATAACAAGAATGACAATGCATATTATCCTCTGAGCTGACCTGCAGGCAATGAGCACAGCACAGTGTGCCTGCAGCCGGGCAGTGCCCACCATGAGGGTGGCATCGGTCAGAATGTTCCGGTGCCTCAGCTCATTCAGATTCAGCAGGACGTCGTTGGAGTGGCGCGTAAACTCCTTCACATATCCCTCCGCAGCAGCCGCATCAGACCCCATCACCTCACGCCTTCCTCCAACCTGGTATCCCTCCACCTGGATCTTGCTCATCTTTTGTTTGGGAGAGGAAGGAAAAAAACATACTGGTATTTTATAGAAGTTTCTAAAATGTACAATATACTGTCCCAGTCAAAGTGTTGCTCCCTCACGTTGACCTACCTTGTTGAGGAAGACACCAACTAGAGAATAAATAGAGGGCAGTCTCCTGGACGCCTCTGTTAGGTGAGACCAGCTCCCTACTCGTACCTGCAAGAAGCAAAACATGACGACACTGAAATATAATGCAACATTATGAAACACAATGTCATTCCTTTATGCACAACACACGGATCTCATTACATAATGAAAAATACCTTTGAAATGTCAATACATCCCCATTTATATAACTAAATATCTGTCATGTTGTAGGAAAAATTTAGCCACAAAATAGATTCTTATCCACACATAATTCACCCTCCAGGTGAAGCCATGTTGAAAAAATGAACACTTAGACAGAAAAGAGGTATAAGATGGTACATGAATGAACATCCCTGTCGCCAGTTTCAATCACACCAATCCAGGCAACCCCTAAATGTTATTAAACATTATAAAACATGATCGAACCCTTAAATAACATCTACAAAACATCTAGTTAACCACTCACCCCGACCAGCAGGGACGAGAACCAATGTGCTCAATGCTGACCTCACGACCCTCAGTTCAACTATCAGGTTCCTCAATATAGCTAGGCTAAGATATAACCTACCACAGTTGTCCGAGCAAGACTGTCGAGGTTAGCCGGAGGGAGGGGAGTCTTTATAACGTAGCGCAGGAAGCCCCATGCAGACCAGCACCGCTCCTTTCCTCTTTCCTCAGCGGCCCACACGTACCCTGGAAGCTGTGCTGCTTGCAGGAAAAGGCCGGCCGGCAGGGTATTTTTAGTGGACTATTAGTTTTTCTAACCCCATAGTCTCTGCAAACAATGTAATGGCAGGAAAGTGGTGTGAGTAGAACAAATATATATGAGGATCCTAAGGGAATAGGGATTATGGTGGTGAGGGTGAGGCTATCCAGGAGTTGAACCTTAGGGTCAGAGAAGACCATCCTCCATCCTCCACCACCAACGCCTTCCTCCCCCTGAACCCTCTCCAGGACAGAGGAAACTGACTGAGAGGAAGTTGAAGAATACCTACGTTAGATAAACAAACCTTGTTTCAAACTCAAAACCTGCCCCGTGGGGACTGAGGCTCTTCAGATATCAGAGAAGGGAACATTCGTGAAATGTAACATGATATAGAAAGAGCAGAAGCCATTGACTTGATGGATTTAACATTGCACTGCCACATAGATCAGGCTGGAACATTGTCTTTCACACCAGACGCATATAGTATCCTTACTCAACTCACTGTAACTTAGGGTGAGCATGCAGCGAAATCTGTGCTATTTTACAGACAGACGCTCTAAATAACATATAATAATTTGTACCTCTTAGTCATGCAGTCATAAAGAGTATATTTCTGAGATGACAGATCCAGGTGAATGTAATGTTATGAGCGCTCCATAAAGTATTCCGGAAGCTTCTGGCCTGCTGCCTGAGGGGAGGGGCCAACGTGTTATGGGCACTTGGAGGAAGGAAACGGGAGAGTGTGGGGAGGAGGGTGGCAGATACTCTCTCCCTGGCTTGCAAAACAACAACCACCAAGACTGATAGAAATGTAGAGGACAGATGTGCAGGAACTGCTGAACACACACACACACACACACACACACACCATCTATGAATGCATCCTTTGAGGCGCACCGAGAAGAGGATGAAAACGCCTGCGCAGGACATCCGTCAATAATAAGTGAAGCAGGAGACACGAGGGGGGACGAAGGAGGGATGCGAGGGGGGACAAAGTGTCAAAGGTCACCAATAACTAAAAAACAAGTGGAAAAGTGACCTCACCTTAAGCACAGCCTTGGTTCACAAAGAGGTGCAGGACATTACAATACACAGACCTAAGAGGGGCTGCTTCAGTGCACCATGAACTTGCATTTCCTTTAGATAAAAGAAATCTGACAGAACTGGAGGACCTTGAACGAGCTTCAAGGCATCTGTCGGTCGGTCAAGACTAGAAGGAGATAAGAGTCTAGAGAGAGGCCCGCCCTTGCAGAAACAACAGAGTCCACAGGGATGATGCAAACTGCAAACCTGAGATTTACATTTCTGTTGAATGTGTTTTTCTTTTAATCGTTTTGTGGTTTTATAGGCAGTGACTGAGAAGGGGCAGGTTTTGTGGTTTTATAGGCAGTGACTGAGAGAGGGCAGGTTTCCACCATTTAAGGAAAACAAGCTTTGAATCTGTCATGATGATACAGATAATACTCCCTGAATCCTATTATTGAATCACTGTAAAATGTAATAGGGTGTTAAAGCTATTATGCATGAAACAACAAATTAGACTTATTTCATTGACTGTTGAAGCCAACCCAAATCAAATACGAGAAAAATACTTAACTTTAAAAAGGATAATAATATTAATCCTGTTTTTCTGTCAGTGCATACTGTAAGATAATTTAGTAGGAGTTGAAATATATGTGTACAAGCTGCAAACAACGACAAATCAACCAATATGGCCATGTTTGGGTATAAACCCATGGTGTAAATGTGAGTCGGAAGCAAAGTGTTTTGCGAGGGGTGTTGAGTGCGTGTGTCCTTGTGCTTGTATTTGTTTTGATGGAGGCCGGATCAATTGTGTCTTATAAAAAGAAAAAAAAAAAAAAAAAAAGATGAACGAAAAACAACATTTAAGAAAACAGAGAAGGAGATGTAGCCTAGGTCTAGGATACTTCCAGGCATTGTGAGAGGAACGGAAGAGGGGGGCGGTTGAGGAAAAGTGAGAACATTACTAAACAGGTTCGCCAATGAGCGGAAGCCATTCAGTCTGTCCAGTTGGCAAGGCTCTGCTAAGCTAATGGAGACTTCCCCTTGTTCACCCAATCTGTCAGTGTCCACTGCCATGCCCATGTAAATGTTAGGAGCTTTATCAAAACTTTCATTTGCAGTGTTGTAGTTATTGTAGTGTGCTATGGTTATCGTTCTGATACTGTGCAGGACTAGAGACTGGTTGGGTGAAACATCAACTCTGTACAGTAACATTGTGGTTATATAATCGAGGGCAAAGGTCAAGAATCTTTTAAAATAAAATTAAACAAGACAGAGTTAAAGAGTACAATTTAAAGTTAAAGAATACTAAAATACTTTGCTTTTTTGACTAAGCATATTTTTCATAATGCATTTGACAATGAATTCTTCCAAGTTATATATTTACAAATAGACTATATTTCCTATTTGGCTTCTGCTTCAAAAGCACAACAAATGCAATTCCGGGAAACCCTTGATTGGGCTGTCACTGTGTTGCTTGGGTAACTACTTAACTGCATACCTTAAAAGGCAATTACTGATACTCAATCACCGACAGTCTAATTCAATAGCTGATGCAAAAGTGTTGACAACAAGTGCCTGAAACAATAACACAGATTCACATAAACTGTGTCTTCCTGTGCTTGCCGAGCATTCTGGACATATAAGGGCAAGCTGTAAGCACTATCCGGACAGAGGAGAATAGAGGATGGGGAGGGAGGGAGGGAGGGAGAGAGGGGTGGTAGGGGAGTCTGGGGAGTCTGGGGGGGGGGTCTACTTGTTTGTCTCCTTTAGATGGTGCTAGGGGGCAGGATTTTTTTTTTTTAAATAACAGAAAACCGGTACAATGAAAAACAATAAAGCAAAACATATTGAAAAAGAGCTTCCTTTGAAGCACTGTCTGGGGAAATAGGCAAGTGGGCGAGACAGAGAGAGCGAGAGAGGTTCCTATCCGGGGCCTTAAATTAGGAAGGTGTGCAAGGGAGGAAAACTATTTCCTGGCAGGGGAGCAGTGTTCTGGACACTCATTTGGGAAAAGTGGAAAACACTCATAAATCAACATTAATTGGCTAATATTAGAAAATACTGCAATATTGCAGATTGTGGAGAAGAAGAGGGTATTGCTGCAGTAGCAATCAGGGGTTGAAGGGGAATTCTGTTTCAATTCAGGAAGTCAATTAAAATTCCACTTTAAGAATGGAAAAAACCCTGGCACTTCTTGATTCTTTCTTGAGTTGTGGAATTTCAAATAATCTCTAGTCTTGAATGAAATGAAGGAATGCCAAGCTGTGGTATATGAGCCTTCAGCTACTCAAGTCCTTATATGACCCAACTGTGCAGTAATCAGGTTAAGAGGTTTGGTTAAATCATCTATTGCTAAAAGAGGGTGACACGGCAGACATGGAGTGAGGTATGTGAGGTCAAAGTCCTCTTTCATAATAGAAACACAAGTTAATAATAGACCCAATAGTGTGACAAGGCTCTGTATGATCTCTGGGTATGAGGATGAACCCTCTTGACTTGACATTTAGTTTTCATAGGTAGACCCACCAGTTAAAATAACTTTTTATAGATTTTTCATAGCAGAATATGTAAAAATATAACATTTATAATGATTTAGTACCTGAAAATGCTGTTTTTCTATATTGACTGGTGCAAGAAGACCTACAGTATCTATTGATCTATTGTAACTAACCTACTTTGCCTTGTATAGCTGATATCAAGACCAATTTTCATAGAATCCCTAGTAGGTGGTAGGCAGGTTAATGAGTGTCGTCTCAGCGTGCTTCTTGGTAGAAGTCTTCCAAGAGACTCTGGAGAGGGCCAAGAACCCCAAAGAGAACCGCCAGGGGTGGGAGTTGATTCTAGATTCAAGAGATTCCATTATGTCTAGCTCTACAGATCTCAGGTCAAATCAGGTCAGAATGTGGATAATCCAGTGGATTATTCTTTATAATGATCAAATCTTTAAAATTGTCAACAAATATGGTCAAAAAAATTTTTTTTGCATTCGCATCGGCTTCTACCAACACGAAGAACATTGTTTGTCAATTCCAAATTCCCAGAAGCCTATCAGGTGCAGCTGTAGGACTAAGAATTTGAATCAGATTCTAAGAATCTGAATCGACTCACACGTTTTCTGAGTCATTTTTTGGAGTAAGAGAGGGATGTTCTAAAGCCATCTCAGCTAACAAAATGGACATGCCCAAATCTGTCTTGACATGGGCCATAACTGATCAAAGACTGTCCCTGTGCCATAGAGATAGATAGAGGACTCATCTTTGTGTCTGTGCTATTATAGCGTCTGTGACAGCATGGGCAGCGCCATAGAAGCAATCTCCATTTGACATAATCCATTTTCTTCTTCATAATTGACTGATCCCTCTGTAACGTACAGTACAACATGCAGCGCATCATACCATCCTTCTACTTCAGGCATGTGCTCTTCTTCTTCCTCCTCTTCTTCTTCTTCTGTGGATTTTATATGGCGGTTGGCAACCAACTTTAAGGTGCATTACTGCCACCAACTGAACTGGAGTGTGGACCAGAGACAGTGAAGGTCTAAATCCTACCCAATAATCTCATCTTCCTAAGGAAACGAAATACATAATTAAATTCTACATCGATTTCCCCAGCAGTTCACTTAATCCTGGCTCTTTAACCCCATGAATCTAATAAAAATGGCTCCCTTTCTCTCACATATTTCTGGCACTGAAATAGAACATGTTCCACTGTCTCCATCTCCTCCCGACAATGATCACACCTCCCAGTAGGATGTTTCCCCACTAATTTCAATATACTATTTAGCCTTGTGTGTCCCAGTCTCAGCCTTGTGACTACACTTTCCTCCCTTCTCTCTCGGCCTGAGGACCTCCCTGCCCCCACCTTTTCCTGAATCTTATACAGGTGTCTTCCCTTTCTCTCCCTGTTCCACAACTCTTGCCACATATTAACACCTTGGCTTCTGCTTTACTGACTGACAATTCCATCTCAACATTAGGATGTTTGGCAATAATATCCACTTCCTCATTCCCCTCTACTCCCACATGAGCTGGTACCCAGAGGAACATAACAAATATCCCCATCTGTGTCACCCTATTCAAGCACTGCAAAACCTCATACAATACATCCTGTCTGCTCTGAGACACACATGAATTTAAGCTCATCAGTGCTGCCACAGGAGTCAGAGCAGATGACTACCCTGTCTGGCCACACCTCCTCCACCCACTCTGCAGCCAATAGTATGGCCAACAACTCCATTGTGTAAACAGATAAATGATGCGTTGCTCTTTTCCGCACTGTCACCTTAAACTCAGGAACACTAAAAGCTGCACCTGTCCTCACTGTTTTAGGGTCCTTAGATCCATCTGTGAATACATTCAAGAAAGCATAGTATTGTGTTCTTAAATGCTCACTTACAATTTAATCTCAGGCATGTGCTCATGGTCCACCACGCTTTCTATTAATTGTTTTTTTATTAACAATAATAAATCAATACAATCATGGTTCACCACGAAGTTCACGACCACGTCACACATTTAAAATGCCATGATGACTAGGGCAGCTGAAGGCCTGTGACAAACGCAGGATCCATGAGAAAGTAGGTTACAGAATTTAGACCCCCAAAAAGCCTACTTTTAAGAGCTACTTTTATTCTACTCGGAATAACTCAAATGAAAGTTTAATTTCGCGTGTTTGTGTTCAACAAGTGTAGGCTATCCTTCATGTGTAGCCTAGTCGAGTCGCTGTAGCCCAAACAGCTATCTCTAAACAAACAAGTAAACAAACATAATTAAATTAATTGTTGTAATTTTCCCTGCATTATCTCGCATGTAGACGTCAGTGTAACTGCCCGTTTGATATCCCTAGGCTACATTGACGCTGCAGGAACAAAATTGAAACGGAAAAAGTTGATCATTTTCTAGACATAAATAGGTTAGCCTACTAACTAGCATACACATGGTATTTTCCGCAGCGTAACTTGACAAAGCAATATATTCTAAGTTTGATCTTTTAGAAAGGTGCGGTGCAAGTAGGCTATAAGATTTAACATTGCTTGGATGTGATGTGGCTATTGACCCAAATAGCCTCAATTGTCGCTTCACTGTGAAATGTTTTTCGTTTGTAAATGAGTATGAAGACGAGGAGACACAAGGCTTCGGGATTTTAAGAGGTAGGAAATCTGAATTCTAGCCTATTCTTCGTAGCCTACAATACCTACGTCCCAATCGCAGTAGTCGTGTTATTGCTTTCATTGCGGAAGTTTAGTAGGCTAGAATTGCAACAATGTATCAACTCTAGCAACAATGAAATCAACTCTAGCGCGCTCCAGCTCTCCCATTCAATTGACGTTTGACAGTTCGCTCAAATCATAAGTGCGGCTATCATTATTAGGCAACTGATATCAAGTTGGCTCGTTGTTGTTATAGTCTATAAGTGAATGTGGTTAGTGGTCTTGCAATCCTCTGTACATCTAAAACAAATTGCTTTTAATCACAGAATGATAAAGCCGCTGTGCTAAATTTTCCGGCCCACCAATCCTCGGATTTGAGTGTGTGCTCAGCCGGATTTAGAAGGTTTAAATCAGGTCGGTGGGAGTAGGGACAGCTACTCCATGGCATATAGACAGTGACTCCAGCCATAGACTTATAGTTAACATAATAATGCAATCTACGTTAGATACAACTCATATTTATAAACTACGAAATGTAAGGTAGATTAGTGATCACCATAGGGGCTGTCATTGTCAAAGTTTTGTGAATAATATCTTGTAGCCTAATAATCAGACTGGAGGCCTAATTACAGTCCCATCTTTACAGCTATACCCTACCAGTCAGTGGTTTTATTTTTTCCACTGCCTTGTGTAATGTGTATATTGTTATGAACCAGGTCCAGGTGCCTAAGCAGAGACGCATCATTGCACAACATTTCCTCTGTTGTTTTTGTCACTGCAACTTCATTTGGGATCATTTAGAGTTGAGTGTAAACATCAGAGACAATAACTATTGTAGTGGATACAGACCCATGGGTAATAGAGGGACAAGCCATAGGTCTCGCACCTGTGGGATTTGTGCATGTGTTTATTTTTTGAGTGTGTGTGTTGGCGCACTCTGTGGAACAGAGTGGGATACTACATAGCGGGATCAATGAGTTAGCCAGCTAATTATTTTTTGATTTTGATAAACGACCAGAAATAAATATAGATTTTCTGGTTCATTAAGAAAGTTAAACTTAGGTATGTGTTTTTGGTTGTTTAATTAATTACCAGGGTTTCCCAAACTTGGTCCTGGGCTTTTTGCCCTAGCACTACACAGCTGATTCAAATAACCATTTTATCATCAATCTTTGGTTATTTGAAACAGCTGTGTAGTGCTAGGGCAAAAACAAAAACGTGCACCCAGAGGGGGCCTCAGGACCGAGTTTGGGAAACCCTGAATTAGGCCATTTCAAGTTTATCTTTCCAATAGTTATTTCTGAATATTTAGGCAAGTTAGATGGCTAACTCATTGATCCTGCTTTGTAGTATTCCCCTGTAGTGTCTCTGTCTGCTGGAATTCTCCTTATGGTTAGGAATGGCTATATCTTCCTGCTTCTCAAAGATAAGCCTATTGTTAAACCACGTATGCGAGTTGGCATAGGAAACCCAGGTTGAAGCATCTCTGGGTTTCCAGTGCTTACCTGTGACATTAATATGTGGCAGTGTCTGAAGATCTTGCCAAAATAGGACAGTGCACCTGTTTTTTTATAAGAACCTTATTTATACAAAAATGTAAGTTTTGTTATAGTTTTAAAATATAACAGTCTAATCACGTCAACCTTATTTTTTTCAGAACCCTGACATGTCCGGTCCTACCTGGCTGCCTCCGAGGACTCTGGGTAGCCCAGAGAGACCCGTCCCCCAGATGTCCCACTCTGGACCAGCCGTGTACAGACAGCCGCTCAAAAAGGTCTCCTCGGACCCCCAGCACAAGTATGTGGTCTATGACCAGAACGGAGGAGGGGGAGGAGGAGGAATGGCCACTAGGTACATGGCTACCGGACCCACAGGTAAAAAAAAAATGGGGGTGGGCCTCACATCACACTGGGCTTGTCTTGTGTGAAACCTTGCTATAATGAGAACTTGTGATGGACTATTGTGAAAATCAGAAGTCCGTTACTCTGTAGCTCAAGCCTTGGAGTAGAGTGTTGGACCTGACACAAGATCGCGGACACCAACAGCTTTCTTGGTTAGCACTTGCACAGTCTTGATGTAAGAAATGTGTTTGTGTCATGTGGTTAATGTAAAAGGTGTACCCTATGGTTATTAAGTCTTGTTTGTAAATGTAAAGTGCACTGTTTTGTATGTGTTCTACAGGTGGGCCCATGCAGCACCAGCACCAAGAGGACCTGGGGTTTCACCCTAAATCTAACGACCACTACTACCAACCACCTCAACACGGGCTCAAAGAAGACCACTCCTGGATCCCTCACATGGATAGCTACGAGCTGATGGTAGGTTGTAGAAGGTGGCAAAGAGCTTCCTAGGGTTAGAGGCAGATGCTTGGAATTTAGAGTGGTAGAAAGTGGCTTTAGCAGCAGAAACGGATGAAGAAAATGTAGAGAGGAGGGAGTGAAAAGATGCCAGGTCCGCAGGTAGTCTAGTTTTCCTCCATTTCCGCTCGGCTGCCCGGAGCCCTGTTCTGTGAGCTCGCAATGAGACGTAAATGTTGTAATTGCTTCTGTAGCCTGGAATTCCCACTGATTTTTGCTCCATTTCACCATGGTGTTCAGTGTGGTTTCTAGGCAAAGGTTTGTAGTAATGTAATTTTGTTATGAAGCAAGAAATTGCTCATAATATTCACAAAAAAAAATGTATAGGGACAAAGGACGAACACATTTGCACATTTCTACATTTGCTCTACCTATCTATCTCCTCCTGTTGTGACATTTTATAAAGGCACCCATCTTTATCATGTGATCCTGCTAAATTCTTTCAGCCCCGTGGACCTCCTGAGAAGCCGATTGGCCACCACTCCAACATCGATGCAGAGATTGACTCGCTCTCCTGTATGCTGGCCGATCTGGACAGCCATCCACAGAACAGCACACAGGTAGGCTACCTGACTGACTACATGGGACTGCGAGGAATAAAGGATTCCTCCGAAACTTAATACAGAAACATATCTGACTTTGTTTATTGTTTTCATATCTGGCTGAAAGTGTATCACTGGTTCCTCTGGATATTTAGGCCTTGGTTGTTAGTTACATGTAAGGAATGCATAATTTTTTAAAATGTATGGTCCCTTTCCATTATTTCGCAGCTGTACGACAATGTGCCTTACAACAAACACATCTCAGGGGACCGCTACAAACCCTCAGCCCAGCCAGGAGCACCCTCTCAGGGCAGGCCGTCCATGGGTTTCCCCCCTCACCCCCAACCCCAGTCCCAGTACCATCCTGCACCCCCATACCCCAGCGATCCCCACCAGAGTCCCCAGTACTTCCCCCAGCCAGACTACACCTACGCCCAGGTCTCCAAACCCTACCCCCAGCCTGTCCCTGCCTCCTACACTACTGCCTCCACCCCTACTGGCCCGAGGTTCAGCGTCCAGGTCAAAACAGCACAGCCTGTAACCTACTCCCAGACTGGTAGGCAAGCCGAGCAGGCTTACACCCCTCCCCCACACCGCCAGCACGCCTCGCGGCCCCTGCCCCAGAATCAGACTGGCCCCCAGGGCTGGTACCCTCCCCACCCCGCTTCCCAAGCCCAGGAGCTGCACTCTGAGGGGGGCTACAAGGGGAGTGCTGCAGGGTCTGGAGGGAGAGCCAACCAGTGTCCCACGCCAAATAGAGGCCCAGAGACTCACCAATCAGGGTCAGGCTCAGCACCAAGCTCCACCTATCAGCCCAGTAAGGTGAGTGTGGAGTTCAAAGGTCAACTACACTATGTGGTGCCTCTTTTTTTAAGGTAAACTATGGTCCTTTTTGAATACTTGTATCATCAGTCTCTTGGTTTCACTGATCTAAATGGGAAAGTAAAATCTCTAATATGCTGATGTTTTTGGAAAATGTTCATATATTTGTCCAGCAGGGGTCAGCAGCTCCGAGGCAAGAGGAGGAGTTGGACCGGCTCACCAAGAAGTTGGTGTATGACATGAATCATCCCCCTACAGAGGAATACTTTGGTACGTCCCGCTTTCTTTCTAATAAAATTGGATGTCCTTTGTGTTGACTGTTATTTACATCTTAATTTCCCCTTGGGCGACCAAGTTCATTTCAATTCAACATGATGTTCCTTCTGAGTAAAAATCTCCTATCCCTCCCATTTGTCTCACCTTCTTCTCCCCTCCCCCTTTCCCTCCATACTACCAGGTCACTGTGCACGTTGCGGCGACAACGTCCTTGGCGACGGCAGCGGCTGTATCGCCATGGAGCAGGTGTTCCACGTGGAGTGTTTCACCTGCATCACCTGCCACGCCCGTCTCCGGGGGCAACCGTTCTACGCCCTGGACAAGAAGAGCTACTGCGAGAGCTGTTACATTGTGAGTGGCTGTCACTGACTGTCCTCTCTTTGTATTGAGAATGCTCTTCTTCCTCTCTTTATGTTCTACATTTATTTTTAGCAGTATTCTCTCAGTTCATCAGTTGATCTCTCCTTCTCTTTCGCTCTTTCTTGCCGTCTTTCTCCATATCTATTGGATTCTCTCACACACCCACACTATTCTGTCTGAACCTGTGCTGCCCCTCTCCCTCCCCCTTAGAGTACCCTAGCGCGCTGCTCCAAGTGCTCCAAGCCCATCCTGGACCGTATCCTGCGGGCCATGGGCAAAGCCTACCACCCACGCTGCTTCAACTGCGTGGTGTGTGGCTGCTGCCTGGACGGAGTGCCCTTCACCGTGGACGCCACCTCCCAGATCCACTGCATAGACGACTTCCACAGGTCAGCAACACGGATAGAACATACTTACCCGGGCCAGATACTGACTGTACTTTAGACAATGAATTCAACTGGAACACTAGCACAAGTCTCCCATTGATCAATTAAACTTTGAATTACGAGTTTTCAAGTTTTAGACATGAGTCTATTGGACATATTATTATATCTGATTGTGTTGTTCGTTTTCCACCCCCTGAGCTCTGTTAGTGTTGACGCTGGTACTTCCTGCTTCCTGTCCTACACAGGAAGTTTGCCCCTCGCTGTTCAGTGTGTGGCCAGGCCATCATGCCCGAGCCGGGCCAGGAGGAGACGGTCAGAATAGTGGCGCTGGACCGCAGCTTCCACGTCAACTGCTATGTGTGTGAGGTGAGTGGTCACTGTGTGTGTGTGCACGAGTGTGTGTTAGTAAAACAAGTTGAATGATGTTTACAGTTTGTCAGGCTATCACATCAGATGTACACAGCCCAATCAGTTGAACCCAATCAGTGTTCCTGGATTGACCCTGTGTGTGTGTTCTGTCACCTCCAGGAGTGTGGTCTGCTCCTGTCCTCTGAGGGTGAGGGGCGAGGCTGTTACCCCCTGGATGGTCACATCCTGTGTAAGGGCTGCAGCGCCCGCCGCATCCAGGACCTCTCTGCCAAAATCTCCACTGACTGCTAACCAACTAGGGGAAATCACCTCTGACCTTTAACCTATGACCCCTCAACCCTTCCATTACTTTCACCTGCTCTGGGGTATTTAGTTGGCCTAAGGAACAGATCTGGAATCAGTTTTACCCCTCTCTGACTCGTAACCTTAACTACAACTTCATCCCCTTTCACTTTCATCCTCTCATAGCCTGTCTTTATTCTTCAGATGCCCAAATATGTGGAATTAATAGTAGTAGGCCTACTATTTAACCTCAAACTGTCTGACAGTCTTCAATATGAAGTCATTATTTAATTTCACTTGACCAGGTTTATTGGTACAGGATTACAGGTCACCTATCCTCTATTCCTTATCTTCAGCTTTACACTATCACCTATCCTCTATTCCTTATCTTCTGCTTTACACTATCACCTATCCTCTATTCCTTATCTTCAGCTTTACACTATCACCTATCCTCTATTCCTTATCTTCGGCTTTACACTATCACCTATCCTCTATTCCTTATCTTCAGCTTTACACTATCACCTATCCTCTATTCCTTATCTTCAGCTTTACACTATCACCTATCCTCTATTCCTTATCTTCAGCTTTACACTATCACCTATCCTCTATTCCTTATCTTCTGCTTTACACTATCACCTATCCTCTATTCCTAATCTTCTGCTTTACACTAACACCTATCCTCTATTCCTAATCTTCTGCTTTACACTAACACCTATCTTCTATTCCTTATCTTCTGCTTTACACCATCACCTATCCTCTATTCCTAATCTTCTGCTTTACACTAACACCTATCCTCTATTCCTTATCTTCTGCTTTACACTAACCTATCCTCTATTCCTTATCTTCTGCTTTACACTATCACCTATCCTCTATATTCTATCCTCTACCCCTACTCCCTTTCCACTACACTATACCCTATCTCCTACCCCTCAGTCCCATACCAGTACTGGATAGAGCCCCTGACCTGCAGGCAGCAGGGGCTGCACTACCCCCCTTGACCTCACCACTTCTCATCTCACACCCTATCCTGCATGTTACACACTATGTCTCGCACACTATCCTGCCAGACACAGGTGGGACATGGAAGGAGCTCTATGGAAAATAATGATTGATGGATATTGCCGATGTTGAGGAGGATGATAAGTAGGAAAATGAGGTGATATTGAGGAGGAGCATGATGATGAGGAATACAATATCTTCCTGGCTGTGGGGTAACTGATCAGTCCAGATAATGGAACATATATTTTGTATACCACTAAAGTCAATAACAGTGCTGAACTGCCTCATGAACAAAGTGCACATATGCAAGTGATTTCTGTGACTGAGTTTATATTGCAGGTGGTTGTGGAGTGAATGGATTGGAGAGCAAGTATCTGAGCCAGAGTGCTTTGTGCAGTGAATAGAATAGAGGTTTAAGAAAGTAGACGGAAATAAAGATTTGTTAGTGAGAACAAGATCACTAAAGTCAATGCTTTGGTCCCATTATATGTTAATACAGTATGTAGGCTATGTTAAATAATGATATCTTTCACTACATGTCAGAACATAACATCAATATTGTATTCCACAGAACAGCGATTTGTAGAAGGATAATTGGTACTGAATTTCAGAGAATGTGTTACTTGTATACCAGCCCCAAACTCCAAACCCCCTCTTTAAAATGTGAATGTGCTTATTAGATATATATTTTTCCTTTTTAACATTTAGGTTGATTTTGATACTTTGCAATGAAGATGAAGAAGGTGCAATGAAGTATAATGCTTGCCATTGTCTTACTGAGAAACAGGGATCTCCATGCTTGCCACGTGGGCTGAAAAAACGTCCTCTTGTGTTCATTATGGGGTTTTGTTTAAGCTTAGCCTTAGAAGTTTGATTTGTGTTGGTAATACCTGTTTTAAGTAACTCTGGGACATTGGAGTTATTCACACATTGTGTTGATGTAATTTGACCGTGTTTCTTCGTTCCGCTGTCTTCATTTGCTTTGTAACGTAAAAACTGCTTGTATGATTTGAAGGTTTTGAAGCTTCTCTTCCAACTATAAGACCCTTAAAATACCAATAGTTTTCTTTGTCCAGAATCATGTTTTGTTTCAGTATTTGATTCTTCTCAGAGTATAGGCCAATGAGCACAATGATATGAAGGTCCCTGTGTTGAGCCCTGTGAGTTGCATTTTCCACTTTTTATTTATTTCAACTCATGTTGTACTCCTATTGTTACTAAGTCAATGTTTATCTGTGATATTGAGGTTAAGGGTAATCACTTTGTCGTGTTTTCACTGTGTGTATTTGTTTTATGTTCCACAGCATCCTATTGATAAGTACTGCAGAACAATCTTATTTGTCCATGCGAGGAATAGACTGAGCAGGTGGTTTGTACAATTTCACTTGAGTTTGAAGTAGGTGTGTGTAAATGATTTGCCTTTTTTCTCTAATGCCGATTGTAGTACGTGATCAATACAATAAACCATCCCTTTTTTTCAGCAAACTACACCATGTGAATGTCTTTTGATAGACCGCTGTACTAGATCCCAATCTAAATCTATTCAGTGTTATTACACATGACAACTTATGGAAAAAGCGGCATACTTAGTAGACTTTAAGTTTATTTGATCTTTGACATATCAAGCAAGCGCCAACATTCTAGGCCTTAAACAATGCAAAAGATTAAGTAACTAGCATTTACATGTGTGACATTGTAAGAAATAGGTCTTTAAATGATCCAACATGAAGAAGAGGTGCTGCTTGGTGATGGTGAGGAGGCGCGCTAGCATGATGTGAAGGTCTTTCAAAAGAAGTTACGGCATCCTAACTTCAGTTCCCGTTGGGAGAGGGGTAGCTGGCGCACCACCTCTGACCTCACCCCGAGTGCCTCCTCCAGGTCCGGTAGTACCTCGTTCTCCCCCGCGGCTGTGGTCATCAGGTCCGACATCTTCAGCAGGAGGATGCGGGAGAGGTCCTATAGGGAACAGAATAGAGTACAAAACAATATAATCAAATATAACTACAGAAACAAAACTACCTGACTGTTACCATGGATTTTTGAACTTCTTTGTTGCTAGACTCCATAATATGATGGTTTTCATGGGACCACTTCTGTCAGTTATTCAAGGACCAAAACATTATCAGAAGCTTCATCAAATCATTTAACATACAAGTAGAAGTTATGGTCATTTAATCTGACCAGGTCTCTTGAAATTGTTTAACATTTGAGTTGAGAATATTACAGAATATCTTTCAAGAATGAATAAAAACACTATACACATTAGCCCAGTTTATACCTGGTTCTAAACATGCATTCTTTGTCCTAATCTAGTCCACATTCTGATTGTTCCCACATTTTTAGACAAGTGTAGATGATTAAAATATGTATTGTGATCTGATTGTGATCAGATCTTCCTGTCCACCTCCAGAGGAAGTAGGCACCCATTGTGTCTGGATATCTTACAAGTGTAGATGGATTTTGACAGTGAAACAATTGAGGTTTGGCATCAATATGTGTCTTAAAATAAATATGGCTTTGAAAGGATGTAAAATAATTTGCATGCAGGGAGGGACACGGACATTTGTTCACAATGCGGACACAGTGGATGGATAAGACACATTTTACCACCATGTGTCATGCAAAGGCTATAATGTAGGCACAATCAGAATGTGGATAAGATCAGAACAAAGGACTCATATTAGAACCAGGTATAAATTAGGCTATTGACACAAGTCAGTCGACCACTCACTTTATTGCCCTTGGTTGTGTCTGCTCTCTGTAGTTCAATTAGCACGTCTCTGTGTGGAGCGATGCTGACCCTCGCCAGCAACACTGAAGCAGATAGAGCCACCAGTAACTCCTGTAGTTGGGAACACAGCATCTACCCTGTCCGTATGTTTGGCTATTGATTCAAATGTATACCGATTGTATCCTTCAATGCTATATTCAGCAGCAATAATCTTAGACTGGATGTCCAACAATAACTAGCCTATAGTGGAAAACAAAACAAACGGCTGGATCTGAGAGAAGGAAGAAGGTTGTTAGGTCCACACGCAAAACACAGCCCTGTTGAAGTCATTTAGCAGACGCTCTTATCATTTTACATTTACATTTTAGCAGACGCTCTTATCCAGAGCGACTTACAGTTAGTGAATACATATATATTTTTTCATACTGGTCCCCCGTGGGAATCGAACCCACAACCCTGGCGTTGCAAACGCCATGCTCTATCAACTGAGCTACATCCCTGCCGGCCATTCCCTCCCCTACCCTGGACAACGCTAGGCCAATTGTGCGCCGCCCATGAGACTCCCGGTCGCGGCCAGCTGCGACAGAGCCTGGATTCGAACCAGGATCTCTAGTGGCACAGCTAGCACTGCGATGCAGTGCCTTAGACCACTGCGCCACTCAGGAGACAGAGCAACTTATCCAGAGCGACTTACACATTGGTGCATTCACCTTATAGCCAGTGGGATAACCACTTTACAATGTTTATTTTTTTTTTTTGGGGGGGGGGGGGGGGGGTAGAAGGATTACTTTATCCTATCCCAGGTATTCCTTAAAGAGGTGGGGTTTCAAATGTCTCCGGAAGGTGGTGAGTGACTCCGCTGTCGTGAGGGAGATTGTTCCACCATTGGGGTGCCAGAGCAGCGGACAGTTTTGACTGGGCTGAGCGGGATCTGTGCTTCCGCAGAGGTAGGGGAGCCAGCAGGCCAGAGGTGGATGAACGCAATGCCCTCGTTTGGGTGTAGGGACTGATCAGAGCCTGAAGGTACGGAGGTGCCGTTCCCCTCACAGCTCCGTAGGCAAGCACCATGGTCTTGTAGCAGATGCAAGCTTCAACTGGAAGCCAGTGGAGTGTGCAGAGGAGCGGGGTGACGTGAGAGAACTTGGGAAGGTTGAACACCAGACGGGCTGCGGCATTCTGGATGAGTTGTAGGGGTTTAATGGCACAAGCAGGGAGCCCAGCCAACAGCGAGTTGCAGTAATCCAGAAGGGAGATGACAAGTGCCTGGATTAGGACCTGTGCCACTTCCTGTGTAAGGCAGAGTCGTACTCTCCGTATGTTGTAGAGCATGAACCTACAGGATCGGGTCACCGACCTTGATGTTAGCGGAGAACGACAGGGTGTTGTCCAGGGTCACGCCAAGGCTCTTTGCACTCTGGGAGGAGGACACAACGGAGTTGTCAACCGTGATGGCGAGATCATGGAACGGGCAGTCCTTCCCCGGGAGGAAGAGCAGCTCCGTCTTGCCAAGGTTCAGCTTGAGGTGGTGATCCGTCATCCACACTGATATGTCTGCCAGACATGCAGAGATGCAATTCGCCACCTGGTTATCAGAAGGGGGAAAGGAGAAGATTAGTTGTGTGTCGTCTGCGTAGCAATGATAGGAGAGGCCATGTGAGGATATGACAGAGCCAAGTGACTTGATGTATAGCGAGAATAGGAGAGTGCCTAGAACTGAGCCCTGGGGGACACCAGTGGTGAGAGCACGTGGTGCGGAGACAGCTTCTCGCCACGCCACTTGGTAGGAGCGACCGGTCAGGTAGGACGCAATCCAAGAGTGAGCCGCGCCAGAGATGCCCAGCTCAGAGAGGGTGGAGAGGAGGATCTGATGGTTCACAGTATCAAAGGCAGCAGACAGGTCTAGAAGGACAAGAGCAGAGGAGAGAGAGTTAGCTTTAGCAGTGCGGAGAGCCTCCGTGACACAGAGAAGAGCAGTCTCAGTTGAATGACCAGTCTTGAAACTAGCTGTGGAGAAGGTCACAATGAGGTTTGACGCCGTCACAAGAACAAAAACAATATTGTACATTCATCCGACTTCCAATATCTGCAAAGTTGTGACATGAAATTGAAAGTGTTCAAAAAAGCGTCAAGTGTGCATGACATAGCACCCTGTTCGCTGTACAGTGCACTACTTTGACCAGGGCCCTGTCTGAAATGGCACCCTATTGGGAATAGTATAGGGTGCCATTTGGCACTCATTCACAGTCTAGTGTTGGTCCAGTGTAAGGCGCTAACGGATGAGGTTGGAGGTTGACATCCTTCTCAGCCAGGCCCAGTGGTGGTGTACATCAGTTGAGATTAGCCCCACCAGCCCTGATGCGTGTATCCAGCGCGATGTGTGGTCCTAATGCGCCACACAGAGCTGCTAATGACTCAAATGTTAATTGGAAGGTCTGCCCACCATCCCCTCAACCCCCCCTGCCCCCTCCTAGTCTCTAGCTTTTTTTCCCCACACACCATCATGTTCTCAGAAGAAGTAAGCATTCATCTAGCCAAAGGGCAAAGATGCAAATGCATATTCAAACAACTAAATGTGGGATAGAATTTGTTTATGTGTGTAGTTTATTCACTGCTGTGAACTCCTGGTTTGACAACTCAAATGTCCCAGACTTTACCCCGGCCCAGACATTACGGTATTCTACTCTACTTGTTGACTGGGCCATGGTATTCATGATATGAGAATGATACCTGAACTCTGCCAACAGTGGCCCTGGCTGGAGTCATACTTCAGCTTTCAGAAGTTCTTTTGTTTTCTATCCTGGGGAAGAATGGGGAATTAAAACCCACTGTAGGCAACAATATTAGTAATAGCTGGTAGCAAAGATAGATGCCAACAGTCACTGAACACAGGAAGTTTAACCATTCCTGACGGCGTTGTTCTGATGACTAATTTCTTCATTTCACGTCCGGCACTCATGAACATTTCCAAAGGAGAGGGAGGATGTCAGGCCACAGGCATCCCACTGGGCAGACTAATACAGCCTGTGTGGGGTCCTTAGAGTACTGTCACAACCTCCACCTCAAAACCATCAATCACGTGACACCATTCATTCCTATGTGAAGACTCAATAGTGCATTTGAAGCCAAGGAAGTCAGTTAAGATGGCTTCTCATGGAGACATAGGCTGAATCCCAAATCACCCCTTCCCCTAGGCCCTCCATTTGCGACCTCAACCCATTTGTGATCACAACTCACCAGACCTTCTTTATTGGAGAGCTGGGACGTATTCAGTGATGTGAAACATTCTGCTAGAAATCAGTGGCGTAGACGTGATTTTAACATTGGGGGGACCAATTAGGGCAGGGGGTCCTCCTCCCGCAGAAAATGTGTTAAACTTGAAGACGCATTTCCTGCATTTTAAAGGTCCAATGCAGCCGTTTTTATCTCAATATCAAATTATTTCAGGGTAAAATATATATATTTGTCACATTGTCACGTCTCTTCCCGTTGCTCCCCTCTGGCGCTCTGATTCGCCGGTCTACTGAGCCACCGGTCTGAGCGCACCACCTCGGCAACACCGGAATGGAAACACAACGCACCCTAATCACCTCCAGCGCACCTGCACCTCATCATCTCATCACCACCCCTATGTAGCCCTGGACTGTTCAGTGTTGTGTTGTGTGTGATTGTTAGTGTCTTGTCGTGTACTCGCTCGTTGTTGTTCTTGTGCTCAGTGTTTAAGTAAATCTTCACATTGTTGATTCCTGCATCTGCGTCCTGCCTCTTCGTATCCTCAGTACTCGTCACACGCATGCGCCGAATACAACAGGTGTAGGTAGACCTTACCGTGAAATGCTTACTTACAAGCCCTTAACCAAAAATGTAGTTTTAAGAAAATAGAGTTAAGAAAATATTTACTAAAAAAGGAACACAATAAAATAACAATAACGAGGCTATATACAGGGGGTGCCGGTACCGAGTCAATGTGCGGGGGTACAGGTTAGTCGAGGTAATTTGTACATGTAGGTAGGGTAAAGTGACTACGCATAGATAATAAACAGCGATTAGCAGCAGGGGGGTGGGGGGGTGGGGGGGGTCAATGCAAATAGGGTGGCCATTTGATTAATTGTTCAGCAGTCTCATGGCTTGGGGATAGAAGCTGTTAAGGAGCCTTTTGGACCTAGACTTGGTGCTCCGGTACCGCTTGCTTGCCATGCGGTAGCAGAGAGAACAGTCTATGACTTGGGTGACTGGAGTCTTTGACAATTTTTTGGGCCTTCCTCTGACACCACCTAGTATAGAGGTCCTGGATGGCAGGAAGCTTGCCCCAGTGATGTACTGGGCCGTACGCACTACCCTCTGTAGCGCCTTACGGTCGGATGCCAAGCAGTTGCCATACCAGGTGGTGATGCAACCAGTCAGGATGCTCTCGACGGTGCAGCTGTATAACTTTTTGAGGATCTGGGGACCCATGCCAAATCTTTTCAGTCTCTGGAGGGGGAAAAGGTGTTGTCGTGCTCTCTTTACGACTGTCTTGGTGTGTTTGGAACCATGATAGTTTGTTGGTGATGTGGACACCAAGGAACTTGAAGCTCTTGACCTGCTCCACTACAGCCCCGTCGATGTGAACGGGGGTGTGTTCTGCACTCTTTTTCCTGTACCTTACCGCAATAGTTTTTCATGAAAATTGTCAAAAAGAACCAAAAATAGCTTTTTAGCAAAAAAAACAATTTTTCAAGAAAGAATTTAGCTAGGACTGTCTGGGATTCGTCTGAGTGGAGAGGTGAAGGGCACCAAAGCAGTGCATTAACACTAGAACCGCTAAAGCAGTCATTTGACTGCTCATGAATTGAAAACAAATATTACTCTGCCATTTTTTTAATCATGCCCCCCCCTCTGTTCATTACAGTGCCATTATTGGTTTTGTGCTGATTTTCACTATTTATCAAGCACACTTGGCTCTTATAATGATGTTTAGGCTACTGATGTTTTCATAATTGAACTGCACTTCTTGCTGGGGTATTTTTTTTATTTTGTCGTTATAAAAATAATCTGTTACCTTGTTTCTGTTTCATAGTTGTAACAAAAACTCTCCATGAATAAAATTGATTGAACACTTGAATATTTGTGTTTTTTTGTGTTTTTTGTTTTGT